TTGGTTCCTTTCAGCACATCATGCGGAAGACGCAAAAGGGAGCTGGTATTGAACATCGCAACGGTCTTGATCACCAAAGTGGCAACGGTGTTACAATGGTCCAACTCTTTGAACGAACTCCCACAGTTCCTGCATTGATAAGCACATTCCATCCTCTCATTTGCCTGTGCTTCTGCTGCGGGCCCCATGGTGGCATCAAAGTGAAACTTCTCGTCCTCCTGCCAAGATCCCCAAGCACCATTCTTAAAGGGCTCAAAGATGTAAGGTCTCTGCCCTACATGTCCGAAGAGGTCCCCCCAGAAGCAAGAACCGGAACGGCCCATGCTCAAGATATGCAACCTCGTGGGGTCCCGCACAGTTGGCGCCAGCGCTGGCGCCACAGCTGGTGCCAGCTGCATCAATGAGGTGCTTTCATCTTCGCACTCCGCGCCATGGGCTAAGGCCACTGATCCGAGACAAGCAACTACCAGTGGCCCAAGCATGGGCAGTCTACGTGCAGTGGGGTATGATAGCGTGGCCTTGAGGCAAACATGCTGCATACGATCAAGGCTCAGACCCAAGCAAGGAGAACATCAAGGCTTTATAATAAGACTTGTGAGACTTCAATGGCCTCAATGGAGACACATGCAATCTGACAAACTTCGATCATCTCCTTCAACTCGTGAAGTTCATCTTCCAACTGCCACAGCTCCTGGAAAGTCCACAGCAGACTAGAAAAACACAAGGCATTCAAGCAAACTCCACTTCAGGGGGCTTCCATGTTGTCAAAGTGGACAAAAATACTAAAAACAAAAACTGAATGTGTTCCTTGTCGCTTAAAGGCTTCTTGCGGTGCTGATGGATCTTCTTCTCTATCTCAATGAGATGCCGCCGCTCTTGCCTTGAGACGACGTCGTCACAGCAGCTTGGCCACACTAGCTAATTATGCTAATTGATTGTTGTGCAGCAGGACATGTTGAAGCACGCAAACCATGCAAACCATTGACTTCAGAAAGCCAAAGGCCTCACCAAACAGTGCTCACACATTCTTCTTAGAAGGGGAGTAGCAGTGAGTAGAATTAGGAGGGAGAAGCCCCTTCATTTCTGTTTGTCACTTGCTGACATGTTGCTCTCCAGGCATTTCAACGGTTTTCGCGTTGCTTCTTGCATCTGCCTATCACTGCGCCATGTCTGTCTGATTGCATCGACTATGTTTCTTGTCTTTCCCTGAGATTCCCTCTCTTCTGATAAAAACAGATACAGTAAGTGTTGTAGCCACGATCCTGGGTGATCCGCTGCTTCTGCTTCAAAAGCCAAGCATGCGAAACCCACGCGCTTGGCAGACCTTGACTAGGTTCTCGACGTGAAGGACGCCACCGTCCATAAACCACTTCTCCGTGGCCATTCCACACAGCTCTTCCTGCAAAAGCCAAGCAACAGCAACCTCCACAAATGCTATTGGCATCAAAGTTTTGCGTCGGCGAAAACGGAAAGTGATCTATGCGAGTCGCATTGCCCGTCACCATGATCACGCCCCCAGCAAATCGATTGATGGCAAACTTCAACGCTTCCAGGTCCTGGCAACTTGGGATGGTTTCCATGGTTTCCTTCCTACTTGCGATGGCCTCCAACCTACTAGCGATGGCCTCCAACGTAATAGCGATGGCCTCAACTGTCAAAAACAAGTGTCAAGAATAAGAACTTTGGTGTTCATCTCATTTTTGATCATTTTGTCGGGTCATCTGCAGCCCTGAGTTGTTAGGACGGAATTGTCCTCGAAGTCCATGTAATCCGCCAATTCATCCAAAATCAGTATGTGAGGGTGCTGCCACATCGCCGCAGCCAGAACAATCCTCTCTAGCCGGACCAAGACTGTCGCGGCTTGACAAATCCTTGTTGAAAACAAAAAACAAGTGTGATTGGATTGAAACTGTAGAGCCAGTGCTTACTGATGGAAAAACTGATTGGTTGGTTGGTTGGTTGGTTGGCTGGTTGGCTGTCTGTCTGGCTGGCTGGCTGGTTGGTTGGTTGGTACAAGAACTTCTCTTGCCATCCGGCGCCTGATCTTGCTTGCACGGCTCAACTTGCCTCCAAGAGTTGGAAAAAACCCGAAGTTGCAAGGCACCCGAATCAAGTCTGGCAAAATGTCATTGAAGCGATCGAAGGTTGTATACGAACACCCTTTTTTGGTGTTGCTGACGAGTCGCCCATGGGCATCTGACTTGCCGAGGCATCAACTTCGAAGCAGCGCAAATGCTTCTGCACGTTATCCTTTGTCAGCTCCTCTTTGCAAAGATTCTTCAAAAACTCCTCAAACACCTGACCTATATAACTAACTACAAGGATAATTGCAGCTACACCGACTCCGACTCGTCTGCAACTGTTCGCACCAACAGTCAGCACCTACATCTTTGCAAATACTGTCTGTCCTTGGCTGAAAACGCACATGATGCCTGCCAATCATCCTCCAGCTGTACAAGCTTTTCATAGCCTGGTCAAGTGAACTTTACCCCGTGAATGCAATGATGCAAACAAAAAAAGCAATCTGTGCTCATCCAAATGGAATTGATTATATATTCTAGTGGCCCATCTCCATCAAGATCTCTTTCTTGACCCATGTTTTCTCGTCCACACTTCTGTGGAGCCATTTCACTTCGTACCTGAGCTACCCGCAGCAAGTCGTCCTCCGTAGTACAAGCGTTTTGTTTTTTTTGTCTTTTCTATTTGTCTCTTTTTTATCCCGGGGGGGTCCAGGTAGACCGTAGAGAGAGGCAGTAGCTAGAGGTAGCTAGTAGAAGCTAGGTAGCTACTACCTACAAGTAGCTACTACGCAGGATAGCTCACGATCGCACTAATGATTTGGTTTCCAATTTTAGGGAAACTTAACTTTTGAAGCTCCCTTTTGGAGACTGCTTTGACAGCCCAGCAGCTCAAGCTCTCCAGCAGCATTGGGGCGACGGTTGCAAATCTTCTCTGGTGTCATCAAAACTTCTGCCTTGCAAACGCTGGAAGTCCAAACAGGGATTCTACAGCATCACCTGTAGTATCGTTTGTGAAATGAAGTGTTCCAGGGGGTGCTTGACTGCCACACACCAACGTCCCAAAGCTAATGGCTCCTTCTCCGCACTGGTGCACGGTCGAAGCAAGTTCTTCTCATCCAGGGGCCAAGGTACTTTCCTCCGACGCCCGCTGTGTGAGAGCCAACGCAAAAACATCTTCACTCCAAAAACCACTTCACAACATTGCAACCTACATCACTCCCAAACATTCGCGGCCTCTGAGCTTCCTCCTCTTGAGAAAGAGTGTTCGAGGCGATGGTAGCAGACTCTTTGTCCCCTTAGCATTTTGGCAAGCACACACTTAGCGAGTTCTAGATCGCCACTAGGTCACTAGGTATATTTCAGCACACAGGCCACACGATCGCCACTCTGGCCAAGGAGCTGTGATCTTCAAATCGCCACAAGAAATACTGCAAGGCTGTAGCCTCCTTCCAATCGTTCAGTTAATATGAAGCATGAGTCTCATTCAGGCAGCAGAAAACACAAAAAATGGTCTCCTTGTGATGGCCAAAACGTTGAAGAGAATGCTTGCAAACATAGGCGAAACCTGAATCTAACACCCACCACACCATGTCCGACCGGTCGGACCCTCTGGGCCGTCTAGGCCGCGGGCGCGAACCCAGCACGCGCAGCACACTCCCATGAGTCGGCCGGAGGCGGCCTTCCAGGACCTGGCAGGATTGAGGAAGGTGTAGAATACACATGTCAAAAGAAAAGTACGAACTTACTAGCGATGGCCTCCAAACCTACCAGCAATGGCCTTCAGCCTCCAACCTACTAGCGATGGCCTCCAACCTGTTACTAGCGATGGCCTCCAACCTGCTACAAGCGATGGCCTCCAAACCTAGTAGCGATGGCCTCTCCAAACCTACTAGCGATGGCCTCCAACCTGTTACTAGCGATGGCCTCCAACCTGCTACTAGCGATGGCCTCCAAACCTAGTAGCGATGGCCTCCAAACCTAC